TATCTTTAAAATAATGTTAGACATTTTAAGAATAAACACTAGTGAGAAAAACACACAACGTTTCGATGACTCCATGTCATCATTCTCAAGTGAGAAGAGAATAAAAATGAATAGTTAATTTATACCGTACGAAGGTGGCAAACGTAAAAAGTTTAAAATATTTAAAATATTTAAATAAATAATTGCGCGTGTTGAGTTCATAAATGTAAACTATTAAATAAATAGTTTCGCGCGTATGGAATCCGATTGTTTGTTCAAAGAGGGCTTCATCTTCTTTATGAAAAGCATTTCATGAACTAAACAGTCCAGTTTCCCGGTGCACTTTTTAAGTACGTTGAAATGCTTGGTCAGGTCGCCGATGGTTTGTAGGCCGTGGTCGTTCTTTAGATGTTTGCCGATGGCCGAATTACGGTGCTCATTAATACGTTGATGTAAATGCCGGCTGGTGTACCCGACGTACTCTGCATCACACAGATCACATTTATAATTATATACAACGCATTGTTGGCTAACTATAGGAGGTTTAGGCTCACGTACTCTGAGATCTTCACAGATTTTGCGACTCTTGAACACGGGATGAAGGGTGTGATCGATTTTGTTGCTTAGATCTGATAATTGCCTTTTCACTGCGTCAGCTGACTTTTGATCTTTAAAAGGCAGGCGTCCACATGGGAGTCCTTCAAATCTGAATGTGATCATCTAAAGATGATGTTTACAAACCTCAAGTATCCCGACCACCTCATCAATTCCACCATCTCTCACTTTGTCACCTCAGTTAGGTCGGAAAACCCTGGAGTGCAAGCTCAATTATCCGTCAACGAAAATGCTGTTCACCGAGTGGTTTTGCCTTTTAAAGATCAAAAGTCAGCTGACGCAGTGAAAAGGCAATTATCAGATCTAAGCAACAAAATCGATCACACCCTTCATCCCGTGTTCAAGAGTCGCAAAATCTGTGAAGATCTCAGAGTACGTGAGCCTAAACCTCCTATAGTTAGCCAACAATGCGTTGTATATAATTATAAATGTGATCTGTGTGATGCAGAGTACGTCGGGTACACCAGCCGGCATTTACATCAACGTATTAATGAGCACCGTAATTCGGCCATCGGCAAACATCTAAAGAACGACCACGGCCTACAAACCATCGGCGACCTGACCAAGCATTTCAACGTACTTAAAAAGTGCACCGGGAAACTGGACTGTTTAGTTCATGAAATGCTTTTCATAAAGAAGATGAAGCCCTCTTTGAACAAACAATCGGATTCCATACGCGCGAAACTATTTATTTAATAGTTTACATTTATGAACTCAACACGCGCAATTATTTATTTAAATATTTTAAATATTTTAAACTTTTTACGTTTGCCACCTTCGTACAGTATAAATTAACTATTCATTTTTATTCTCTTCTCACTTGAGAATGATGACATGGAGTCATCGAAACGTTGTGTGTTTTTCTCGCTAGTGTTTATTCTTAAATGTCTAACAAAATCTAATGTCATTAAAATAATGTTGTTTTAAAAAAATGATACCAATAATAATAAAAATGATAATTGGAGTACATTTCTTGTGGGTGGAAACAATAAATAGTTAAAGTTTAAATTATTACTATGGCAACCATATCCTAATGCAAGACAAATATTTCACCCACACGGGACCTATAGAGGTTCTATTCACTAAGTGTTTTGCATGCAGGTGCACAATGAAGAATTCTTCAAGACTGGAAAAGTAAATGATCACTCACAAAATTACAACATCTTAGTCAGTCATTGGGAGACTGTTGATGCACAGATTATTTGAAAGAAGAATTAGGGAAAACTAAAATATACTTTTTCCACAGCAATTATAGGGATATTCTTTTTTTTTTTTGTTCGTTTTAAGTTTTTTTAAAAAGCAATCATGATTTCACTTAACAACCCTGTATACGATATATTGTCTATTGACTAGCTACTGCGCATGTCCGTGACTGTTCATTGTTTACAGATTTGAACGAATGCGTGTTACGATCATGATCATAATCATTTGGCTATGATTTTTGTTTACGTCACGCACCTTGCACGGCACTCCACTTTCAAAATCCAACCACCGACTTGGTTCATAAAGATTTTGACATCAAATAATAAAAGCTACGCTCAAAACGATCGAAGGTTTGATTGACTTTAAACGCGTTTTTATGAGTGAAAAGACTCACAGCTGTCAGTTACAGCCAAGATATTAACATAAAAATAAGCTTAAAAATCCTTACACTCCACATAGTCCTCCAAATACAGCATTTTTCTTCCGTTCTCAAGCAATCTTCTGATTCCTCATTCCTATTTTGTGAATTTCATCATGGCGTCCATTGCATAGACGCTAAATTTAAATCCCACGCATGCTGCTAAGACAGACTGCTGACCAATATCTACATACTCGTGGTCGAAAATATTTCACAACCCTGCGAGGAGAAAAATGATTTTAACGTCGATCTGAGGTTATTTTGGTGGACCGTATTGAAAATCTTGGAAAATGAGTGCTATTTTCAGATTATTTCCCAGTAGGTTTCTTTGTAAAGCCTGTAGTAGGAATACTCTGCTTCCGATGTTCAGTGCGCTAACAAAGACTTTGAATGGTTCTCGACCGTTTGCAACAGATTCTGAGGTCAGTGCATCTGTCGCGGTAGCTAAGATAGCCATGCTTTATGGGTTATTTTAAAGCATTTTTACTTTTTTTTTTGGATATTTGAAGGACATTTTAAGGGAAATTCCCTCGTTAACAGCTCTGTAGAGCTGGAGGAGGAGATGGCAGGAAGTGGCGGCTGGTCGGGGTTATGGGAATGAATACAAATTTCCCATTTGAATTTAAGCTGGTCCTTGATTGACCCTATGCTTTCACCAGGGTTTGAAAGGTGACAATGGGAAGTTTAACCTTGAAAGATTGTCAGAGTGTGTTAGATGTTGCTCTATGAGGTCAACTTGCTACACCTCTACATACGTTTTGTTGTGAACAAGTTTCCCAAACAAAAGTGAATGGATTTTGTCTTAGACAGAGTCAGGTTAAATGTCTAAGTGCAGAGATGGCAACCTGTAAAGATCTAAAGTCAGGAGATTTTTTTCTTATGCTGCGACAGCATCAACTCAGCAGCAACCCCTCAACTAAAACAATTGATAACCCCCCAAATCAAAATTATGTCTCCCTTCCCAAAAAACAAAGTTTTTCTTTAGGTTCTGTCAAGATGTGATTGCATAAAGATGGCATTGAGAAACAGTGAGACAAGTTTGTAAAACTAAAACTAGTTTTGATTTGAGTAAATCTGGGAATACACTGTTAGCCTACAGTGGAGCAAAGCCTTTGAGAGCCAGTTCATTGCTTTTATCTGGGAGATTTGGTGATCCTTACAGGAGACTGGGAGACTTTTTCTGTATTCTGGAGACTCCCGGATAATTCAGGAGGGTAGGCTTATATGTGAGTGCAACACCTGTCTACTTTACCTTCAGTTAGTCCCCCCCCCCAAACAAACTAAGGGGGAGGTGGAGAGGACTGGGAAAGTTTAGAGCAAGGAAAGAAGTATGTGTTGATCCATAGTAGGTTGTCACATACTTCTTTTGTTGACTTTTACTGTGTTTGAAGAAGCACTTATCTTATCCTACATACCTTTTTTTAAGGAGAATTTGAGAAAAACACCACTGTATGATTTTCATTTGGAGCTTGGTGGAAAGAAGTTTGTGATCATTTCCTTTATAGAATGGCAGTCACTCTTGGGTGATAAAGAGTTAAAAAGCATCTTTTGATTGTTTCACAGTATTTGTCCCACATAGTTTACCTGTAAGTCTTTACTTTGTTTCTTGCTTGAGTGCAAAAACATCGGAAATAGAATGTATGAAAGCGATCCTCGCAGTAATGAATCCTACTTATGTAGCAGTGGAAATAGGGCCTTACGGGATTTGAACTCATGACCTCTGCAATACCGGTGCAGTGCTCAACCAACTGAGCTAACAAGCCAACTGGGAGCTGGTCGTTATGTTAGTTCGTGTTAAACCCGTAGAAGTAATAACAACGAATATCGGACATAGGTTCTTAGTTAGTTGGGTGCTGGCTTGATTGATAAATTGATTACCAATCCAGGAAAGACAATGAACTTCTATGTTGTTAGTAATTAATCTTCCTAACCATGCTTTTGAATAGGACCGACTGAAGGCAGTCAGCAATGACATGGATGTTGCACTAGAAGTTCTTGAGGACAAAGCACTTGTTGCGTTACAAGGTAGAGACATCAGTGCAATTAAATATTAATTAATGTGGACATCACAAGTTAATGCTATTTATTAGATGTGCGTTTTCGTCTCAAACAAAACGATACAAAATAATTTCACGCACTCTAGTATTTTCGTTTTTCTCTCAGTTATCCATAGTACTGCGAACAGGCTCTCATTATTGGCGCTTTGAGACGAGTGATTCTTCGCTTGCGAGAAAGTACGAGGCGTCTTGCGACGCGACCCGGTCAGAGATCTCCAAGGGGTATGACACTGCAAATGGGATTAGTGCCAGCTTCTCGTCAAGCCTCTTACCGACGCGTATCGAATCTTCCCGCGTGCGGAGAAATGCGCGTCCTTTAGCGCTCATGATAAGGGCCTGGGCACTAGGGCCCGCTCGGAGGCTACTACTGTCCGCACTACAACACTTAAAATGCAGATGGCCCATGTGCGACGGTATGTGACGCATTTTTCGTCATCATTTTCAAGTGCCTACGTTTCAGTTCACTTTTCTACACAATAAATGGAGCTTCCTAATAGTGAACCGTTTTCAAATTACCACTCTTGGGGCCTTTTCTATTAAACGTTGTCCATTTCCATCAACGGTTTTAGTGTTTAACAATGAATTATAGGAGAAAATGCGTGGAAGGGTTCTTATATTTTGAGACATTGGTTTACCGTGTCCACAACATTTTGACCACTGTGGTTACCACAATATCGACGACAAATAAAACGATCCTTTCAGTACGTGACCATTGCGTGACAAGTTGA